TATATATATATATATATATATATATACATACATACATACATACATATAGAGAGAGAGACATGTAATTAGATATTTAGTTAATTTTATTAATCATGTCTTTTTTTCATAATTTTATTGCCAAAAAAATACCAGCCATTGGATTGGAGGAGGAGAAGCAGATCGGAGCGCCCAGGCCGGTCCTACCCTATCTTCAATAAGCTGAGTACAAACTCTACCAAGAACCAAAAAAATTTCCACAATTTCATAATTGAATTCGTGGCCACTACTGATGAACACTTCGACCCGGCCTTGTCCTCCATCGCCGCTTTATTTAACTCAAGTTCTACCACCAAATCAGCGTAATTTGGTCGAGTAGCAAGCCAAGAACTCGGAGTCATGGCAAGGAGAGTTCTGAGGGCCCAAGCCAAAGTCCCAAGTTAGAGCTCTAGTTGTGAACTCGGTCCGGGAATCGATTGAAAATGTATGACAAATAGAGAATTATTGGAAACAATAATTGATAGAGACTAAAGAGAATCAAGGAGAGGAAGAGAGCAATGAGGGGAGTGAAACTTAGAAAACGGCAAACTAACACCAGTTAAAAAAAAAAAAAACAAAGTGGCCGTTCGTTTATGTTTCCAAGGGCCTTTTTCGTTTTCGGTTCTCATTGGCTTCTTGTTCTAATTAAAACCTAGTTTTGTTTTCTGAAAACAGTTTTAAATTTAAATACAAAATTTGAAAACATCAAATTACCGTTCTTATCATTTCCTGAAAACAAATCAAAATCCATCTCTACTTACTCTCATGCCTTTCTCATCTTTCTCTTTAATTCTCTTCCAGTAGCCCACAATCCCATCGTATTCTCGAATCTTAAAAATGAAAAGGATTGTATACCGTGTCTATTACTCATTGGTTGTAGCCCTTATAGTCAGCCCCAATCCAGTACCACAAATATTTGTGCCCATTATTGATTTTTCTTCTAGCGATAAAAAAAAATTAAAAAAACTCAATCACTCCGGGGTGATTTGATGTTTCGATTATGTCACTGCCTCATTAAGATTCTTACCGTTAAATATATGGAGGTTGATCTACCAATTTGCGAAGGAGCCTACAATGTTTGACTTTTTTTTTCCTTCATGTTTTTGAGTTAATAGTTCACACGTTATTCTTTCTATTTGAGCCTGAGAAGCCTTAACAGAGGATCAATTGTCCTACATCCAAGGCCAAAGTCAAAAGTCAACCCTGAGACCAGTCAGCCGACCCTCTCCTTCTAGAAGAAAAGTAAATCCACTTTGAAACCCAACTCATAAAATTCAAACCCACAACTACGCATGTGGCCTACCCACATTATTATTCATATTCTCCACTATAAATAATAATCGACTCTACCTTCGTTCTCCATCACTCATTCCCTGCCTTAGAAACCAAAATGGCTCAGATCATTGTACCCAGCAACATATTTCTAACCCTTATTATTGTAGCTGCAGCTGCAGCTGGGTATGTGGAGGCACAAAGCCCGAGCACTAGCGACGTGTCGGTGGCGGATATCGTCACGCCCAAATTCTTCAACGGCATAATTGACCAGGCCGACGCAAGCTGTGTCGGCAAGAACTTTTATTCCCGAGCTACCTTTCTTGAGGCTCTCAAGTCTTATGATCAGTTCGGTAAGATTGGTTCCATTGATGACTCTAAGCGTGAGATTGCTGCCTTCTTTGCCCATGTCACCCATGAGACTTTTCGTAAGTTCTTTGTTCTCTCATCAATTATTTCTTCCACTTTATTCATTTTTCACATGTATTTGTGAAATAAAAAAGGGCAATGATTTCCCCACTCATATTTTATCCATTTACACTCATTTTTTAGTTATAAAAAAGGAGTATAAGTGGATAAAATAGGAGAAAAAGGAGTGGGGAAATCACCACTCATAAAAAAATTATTTGTACCATACATTTGTTTATGCAAGTAGATCTCACCACCGTAAGAGAAGTGTGTGGTCCAGATTGATAATTTCCTAACACAATATGTCAATGTCATAGCTATATATCATTTTTATACTTCCATCAATGTCAAACTTTTTTGGTCATTGCTATACATGCCACTTTTAAAGCCGTTGTTTATTTAGTGTACACGGGATTATTTTATTTGTATCAAGTTAACTGACTGTACTATGTTTCCAATAATAGAAGTAGAAAATAGATGTTTTCTTTTCTTTTCTTGTTCAAAATTTTCATTTTTTTATTGGTTTTTTTTTTTTTTAAAATGAGGGGAAACGATGATGGGGAATCCACAATTTGAATATAATGAGTATGGAGGCGGGAATGGAGAAAAAATTAATGAGAAATGGAGATAATAATGGTGTACCCTGGCCCGATTTGCTCCATTAATTGTCACCCATAGTAGAAACTCTACAAAGTTACATCCCTTGTAGATAAGTCTTACTTCTATTAGAGACTACAAAGTTACATCCCTTGTTCTAATTTGATTGTGCAGATTTCTGCTACATAGAAGAGATAGATGGACCCTCAAAGGACTACTGTGATGAGAGCAACACACAATATCCATGCAAGCCAAACAAGGGCTACTACGGTCGTGGACCCATCCAACTATCATGGAACTTCAACTATGGCCCAGCAGGAGAGAACATTGGCTTTGACGGATTAAACTCTCCTGAAACCGTTGCCAATGACCCCATCATCGCCTTCAAGACGGCATTGTGGTATTGGATGACCCACGTCCGACCGGTCATCGGAGAAGGTTTCGGTGCAACAATACGAGCCATTAATGGTGCCCTTGAATGTGATGGTGGAAACCCTGCTACTGTTCAGAAACGTGTTGAGTATTTCACTGAATATTGCAACCAACTTGGTATTGCTCCCGGGGACAATCTCACTTGCTAGGAGACATCTCAATTTACTCGCTAAGCTAGAAACGTTCATTTCCTTCGATTGTTGTTATATTGTTTAATAAAAATTATGTATCAGACATATAAAATAAAATAAATACTACGAATTCTATTAAAAATGATCAATGTCCTCTTGGTTTAGTACGTAATCTTTTTAAAACTACTACAAAAATGAAAAAAGACGACCGTAAAACAACGATAGAATAAATAAGGGCTTGTCCAATATAGGTCCCTACAATTTCTATTTCCTAGACATATACCCATCATTCTATAAATCTATGTGTAAAACCCAATTTCAAATTTAAATGACCAGTATGATATAAGAGGTTGTAGTATTCCTATGTTTTTACATCCTTGCCATTAGACTTCATATTTTATTTATAATTTATTCCAAGCATTTCATTAACTGCCATAATTGTAATTAAAACTCCCTATTAATAGCATATCAATCACCCCATTTCTTTTGGTTGCCATTCCCTCTAACAATATGACCCTTAAAATTGAAAATTAAGAAAATATGTAAATTACATATCCAATAATGTACATATGAAAAATATAAATATAAATATATGTATAAAAATATAAGGTATATTATTTACCAAAAAAAATAAACAAAAATAGGTCAATTACTTTGTAATTGAAATTTCCGTACATTTTTCATAAATTAAAAATAAGTACACAATAATTTATAGAAAATAAAAACGTTGTATAATTGAAAGTTATGCATATTTTTATAAATTTAAAATAGGTACATTACTTAGAAGAAAAAAAAATAAGTTCATTATACTAGGTAAATTGTTTTACTAGGTATACATTATTAGAGAAAAAAAAAAGGTACATTATTTAGAAGAAAAAAATAGGTTCATTATACCAAGTACATTGTTTAGGGGAAAAAAAAGGTACATTATTTTGAGAGAAAAAATAAGTACACTATTTAGAAAAAAAAAAAAGGTACATTATTTAGAAAAAGAAAAAAGGGGTACATATTAGAGAAAAAATAGGTACATTATTTTGAGAGAAAAAATAAGCTCATTTAAAAAAAAATTCATAAAAAAAACAATAAAAAGATGATCAAATTATTTTTTTATAAAACAAGTGATAAATTAAAAAAAGGGTACAATATTTGGAGAAAAAATAGGTTCATTAAAAAAAATGTTTTAAAAACAAAACAATAAATAGATTATCAAATTATTTTTCAACATAATTAGAATGTACACTATTATTGATAAAACTATAATAAAAAAGAATACTGGTCATATAATTCATAAAAAGAAAACAACATTAATTCCTAAATTTAATATTGAATTTAAATTATTAATACTTTAAATAGATTATTAGTCGTAATTCATAGAAGGAAAACACCATTAATTCAAAAATAGATTACTAATACTTTAATGTGGAATTTAATATTTAATTTCAAATAAGTTTCTAAATTAGTTCCTACATTTATTACAACTATTTGGAGATATTTCCAAATTCAACGGGTGTCATTAGTTACACCCCCAATAACACATTAACTTATAAATAGGGGTAGTTTTGGAATCCAAAAAATACAAAAAAATTCGGATGAATTTCAAAATTCAAATTTAAGATAAATTTGGATTCAAATTTAGGATGAATTTCAAATTTCAGATAAGATTTTCATCCAATCAAATCAAGCCACGTGACATCTCTATCTTGCCAAATTTTTATATCAAACCAGAAGCTCCACCCATACCTCACATCTCTCTATATTTTCATTCTTAGAGTTTAGAATTCATACTCCATTCATTCTCAATGGAAGAATATAGGAGATGCTTGGAGAGGCAAAAACGAGAAAGAAAGGAGAGAAATCGTAGAGCCGATGAAATCAATGAGTTGTAGAGACAAGTCGATGAACAAGTTCTCATAGCAGTGGCAATGGAAGAGGAAGAAAACCAAGGTCGCCGCCGTGGTTCGCAAGTCGGCCGTCGCCAGAATGTGGACAGACATAGGCATTCTCGGAGTAAGAATCTTTTGGAAGATTATTTTATCCCAACTGCTTTGTACTCTGATGTTGATTTTCGAAGGCGATTTAGAATGCAACCCCATTTGTTCAAT